TGTGATTTACAAAGCAGGGGATACCAATGTCCAGTGCTTATATACTACATTCACCGCACATTCTTGATGGATTTTGTTACTTTCTAAAATTGTAATCACCTTATTTATTGCTTCACATTTCTGACTGTCATCTGCTTTGTTCTCTAGTGTATGTGTTCAGGTGGGTATATGTATGCAGGCACAGTGTATGCTAGAGGGTGATGTCTGCTTCACCTTAGCTTTTGTAACAGAATCTCTCATTTAACTAGGCTGGCTGGCCACTGGGCTCCCAAGATCCTCCTGTGCCCACCTGGGATTACAGGTGTGTGTCGAGCATCAGGTCTTCATGCCTGTGCAGCGTTTTATCAGTGCCCCCATCTTTCCACCCCTTCAAACTGTCTTCCCAGCCGTTAGCAGGGCTATTCCCACTCCCGCCCGCTTCTCCTTCCTTAGTTTATTCACTTCCATCCTTTCACTTCTAGTCTCTTCTCCCCACTCCCATGGACAACAAGTAGTTTGTCCTTGGTTACTAATCAAGAGCCTCAGACCACAGTGGACATAATTGCCAAGGTGCTGTCCTTTTCAGAGAAGTGGTTTTGATGCTGTAATAGACATAAAGCCAGAGGGGCCCTTGTGGGCCTGCAAATGTTTCCAGCTCTTCCCTGCAGGATGGAAGGTGGCGGTGAGCAGACATCTCCCTGTATTTGATGGCTGCTCCTAGTTTTCCTTGTCACTCTTAAGAGAAACTGAAAGTGTGTTTTCTTACATGGAATGTATTATTTGGAGACTTTAAAACCCTCTAAAGAAAATGACAGCGGGGCTCATTTGTAGCAAGTAAAGATACAACAAATGTTTTCAGTGTCTGAAAAGGGCTGGGCCTCAGACACTACTGGGGCTCCCTTTGCTTCTGAACAGAGCTTCATGAACTTCACACCATCACTGGGCTCTGAAAACAGCTACAGCATTGTACCTTTCATACGTTCTCAAACCCAAGAGTTCATGTGCTGTGTCATAGTCTCATAGATAAATATTGCAGTGGGGACCATCAACTGACTGTCATGACTGCTTTATGTGACTGTAAAGTATAGCCTAGACTTTCCAAAGCCATTACATATAAACATGAATAAACTATCCACATATAGACGGTAAGTAGTTATCAAGTCTGGCTTAAAATTTTGCAAAAACAAACAATGACTTTGACCTGTAAGTCATATCTTATTGCACACTAGAAATTATAAAGGGCTTCTGGCTCAGTGTTGTTTGCCTGTAGTCATTGCCTAGGCATCAACCTATGAATTCAGGACCAGCCTAGGCAACATAGTGAGACTGTCTCAAGAAAAAAGACAAAAAATAATTACTAAGAATGACCCTGAGAACAACAATGGCCATCAGACCACTGAATAGAATGTGCAGGAGGATACATAAAGATGAGAACAGCTGCAGAAGACATCAGTCTGGGGGGAGATGAAACTGAGCTCTAAGTCTGGAAAATTATAAGCTGGTCCAAAGTACCTATCTCCGTTTGACTCAGGGTATCATCTTGATTAATGATGCCCTGATAAGAGATAAGAATTAGGAGGGAGGCTGGCATGCTGCCTTCTATGTAGGGAAAGCAACTCATCCCAGGAAGTGAAGACCCATTCTTTTCATCCAGCCAATAAGCAGGACTTTCAATCAATTTCAGTTCTTTTGCAAATGGCAGTGTTTGAGAAAGGATCTGGCAATGTGGGAAAACAGGAAGTTTTTCACCCAACAGTAGACAGGAATGAGGGATTCTTTTTAGAAATTCATCCCTACCCTATTCAGCTAGGAAAGATAAAGGCTTTTTGAGGTATTTTGCTTTCTTCTTGGTCAAGTTCAACTTGGGAGGCAGTCCCTGTGGCATTTGCCTTTGGGTCTCCTGCCACCCTCTTATAGCCAAAGGCAGGAGCTTCTTCCAGGCCAGGCCAACCAGTACTCAGTTACCTTAGAGCCACCACCTGCTTCTCCATCTCCACTTCACAATGCAGTGTGCAAAGCTATTAGCTTAGCATCTGTGTCACATTTAATGCCATCCTGCTCTTCAAAGAAAGTCACTGTTTTTCTTAGTTAAATATGAGGAACAATAGCAACCACAACATATCAAATGTTCTGACTTACATATTCCAATAACTGTTGCTTGGAGCAAATACTTAGTGCCTGAAGGGGCTCTAGCCGTCCGTCTTAGCCATGACAAACATGGCTCTGGCAGGCCTTGTCCCTTCCCCTTCCCCTACTCCCTCTGCCTTGCTAAAAACCATTAGATTACATCCCCAAAGTTAGCCACCAAGGTCTAGTCCCTTATTTGGCCAATTCCTCCTCCTGAAGCTGACTACCAAGGTCCACCTATCAAATATTAAAATCCAGTAATCAGAAGCGCCCTTTAGTTCACCTAATTAACATGCCCAATTAAAATTAAACACCTCATCCTAACACTGGGGTTTCCCTTTTACATTTATAAACTGCCATTTGCCATGTCTGTCTCCTCTCTATCCAGAGGCAGTCCTTTGTCCCTCCAGGACAAACACTTTTTCCTTCCTCTCTCCCTTGTTCCCTTCTCCCTTCTCCTCTGTCTCCTGTCTTTGTCTCTTATTCCCTGCCCTTTGTCCCTGTGGGGCAAATAAATCTCCTTTGTGCTGAGAACTTGATCTTGGGGTGTCTCGTGCTGACAGCAGTCCCTTCAGTGCCTATGAAGTGTACTAGAAAAGGAATTATATTGCTTTATAATCAATGGCGTTCTAGCACAGCTGAATGGGCTAGCTCACCCAGGCAAGGGCAGAGCCACACACAGGATCACAGACACTCCATTTCTTCTTGGTCCCAAAAGACTCATTTACCTCAGAGGGAGAAATGGAGTAGTTGTGATCACTCAGTCTTGTGCTAAAGATGGCAATAATGAAGACAATAGTTAGAAAATAAGGAGCCATGTTTTTCATTAAAGGCTGTCTGTTATAGTCATCATCCTAAATGGAAAACCAAAGAGCAAAACCAAACTTGTTAATGATACACTTCTGTAGGGAATGATGACAGCACAGTGTGATTATGACAACTTGAGCCTTTTCTTTCTTTCCTTTTCCTGAACTAACATCTCAGCTCTCTTTTCACTTTAATAATTTATTTTCATTTTATGTACATTGGTGTTTTGCCTGCAGGTTTGTCTATTTGAGGGCTTCAGATGCTCTGGAACTGGAGTTACAAACAGCTGTGAGTTGCCATGTGGGTGCTGGGAATTGAACCCAGGTCCTCTGGAAGAGCAGCCGGTGCTCTTAACTGTTGAGCCATCTCTCCAGCCCCCTACCCTGCTTGTTTTATTGCTGTTTTTGCATGGCAATAACTGGAATTGCATCATCTTCAATCCATCTCGGGTCAGGTGGAATCTTGTTATGGTGCCTAGGCTGGCCTCAAACTCCAGATTCAAGCAGTCTTTCTACCTCAGTTTCCCACGTGTTAGGACTATAGACATGGATCATCATGTCTGGCTGAGGAGTTTATCCCAGTGATCTGAGGCTGGCATGTTGGGATACCACAGTGTTACCATAAACAAAGAATATTAGCAAACCTAAAACAAGGTACATGAAAATTAAGTTGGAAAGATACTAATGTTTGCAACAGATACAAAATCTAGTGGCTACTATGTTTTTCTTTATAACTGATTCTTAGGTCAGTAGTGACATTCACATCACAGGTAGGAAAAGAGTTCCAAAGTACCTACTCATGGTGACTAGACCTGCCAGTCCTTTTTTGTTCATCAAATGGAGACATAGAAAATGGAGACACAGAGGTATTAGACAGCACCTCCCTTGTGGTGTTTGAAAGAAAATGGCCCCAAAGGAAGTGACAATATTAAGAGGTGTGGCTTTGTTGGAGGAAGTATGTCACTGTGGGGGTGGGCTTTGAGGGCTAATATATGCTCAAGCCATGCCCAGTGTTTCAGACCACTTCCTGTTGCCTGCACAAGATGTAGAAATCTCAGTTACCTCTCCAGCACCATATCTGTGTGCATTCAGCCATGTCCCACCATAATGCTAATGGACTGAACCTTTGAACTATAAGCCACCCTGTATGATAAATCTTTCTGCCATAAGCTGCCTGAGCCCCACCACCACGTGTGTGCTCTATGCCAGCCGCCCGCCTGAGTTAGGTCCAAATGAATACACAGAAACTTGTATTAGGTTCAAAGCTGCTTGGCCAATGACTAGGATTTCATCTGCTAGCTCAGTCTTAATTATCATAAATCTATATATTTTATAAGACTTATCTTATCAGATGCCTTGTTGGCGTCCCTCCTTGCCAGTGGCTCACATCCTGCTGCTGGAGGAGGAAGGGGAAAAGAGGGCCCTTCCTGTTTCTCCTTCACTTAAATATGAGTCTCCTTGCTATGTCACTTCCGGCCTGGATCACCACTTCTCTACTACATTTCCCAGAATCCTCTTTGACTCCTAGTCCCGTCTAACTTGCTCTCTCATTGGCCAAACAGTATTTTATTTAACAATCAATAAGATAAACATACACAGTACATTCCCCATCATCACCCCATTAAACGTTTTCCTTTATAAGATTTGCTGTGGTCATGGTACCCTAACTAAGACAGTCCTACACCCTGCCATGTAACATAAAACATGGAAAGTGAGCACATGTGAGCACAGATAGGGGTTGCCTATTTCTGTCATGTGGTGACCCCACAAGGTTCAGCCAGCTACTGAGAGACGTTAATGAGTTCTCCATTTTCACTGATGTTGTAGGCATAACTTGACCTCTTAGAGCTGTAAAAACTCAAATTTGTCTTATTTTATCAGAAGATGGTACCACCAAACAGCACACAATGTCAAGCTAAAGCTGATTTGAATGTCATTTTCCCATGCAGTGAGGTTGACAGCCACTAAGTTGAGCAAAAAGCTTTAAAAGTGAAGCAAGCTGCAATTGTACTTCCTGTTGGCTTTACAGTCCCAAATATTCACTCACACAGACCATGTGTGTGTGGACAGGTAGCGGTACACACTTACCTTTTCCTCAAAGAACTTTCTTCTTAACTTGGCATCCGTAGGAGGGACTATTTTCCTCAGGTTTTTGTACCACTTTCTAACGATGAACCCTCTCCAGTAGGCTTGGATTCTAAAACAGAGATGTAAAAATGATGACCACCTTATTGCCTTATTTTTAAGCTAAAAATTTATATTACACATATGAATGTTGTGTCCCTGGTGCCCATGGAGGTCAGAGGACAGCTAATTCCCTGGAACTAGAGTTATAGATAGTTGTGAGCCACACCATGTGGGTGCTGGGAATTGAACCTGGGTCTTCTAGAGCAGTTAATGTTCTTAATCACTGAGCCATCTCTCCAGCCCCTGGTGGCCTCATTTTAACAAACACTTCAGTTCTCCTCCCAGCCTGGCCTTCTCTGGTGACCTTCTGGGTTAGTAATCACAGCCTGAGCTGCAAACATTTGTCTCCCCTTTGCAGGGTACTGAGGACACTCTTACCTGGTGGCACACTTTATTCTGAACAGGCGGGACCCATCATGTATCACTCTGGTTTGATACTGGTTCTTTCTACAGAGGGGACAGGTTTTTTTATTTGTGAACTTTTCAAAAGCCTGAAGGCATGCCTGAAGAAAAGGATTTCACTTAAAACTTTACATATAATTACTTATAAACAACATTTTTACTTCTAATGTAATTATAGTGTTCTTTTTCTCATAATTGACTCCATCCAATTTAGATTATGAAGTGAAGTAGTTTCATCAGATGTTAACACCTTCCTCATGAAACCTGTTCCAAAAATGATTTTCCACAAGAACATGCATGCAGAGACTTCAAAAACCTCTGAGAGTCAAGTGGCATAAAGGTAAAATGCTATGTGTCAGACTGCCTTGCAAACAGCCGGCAGGAAGTAAGCGATCAGCAGCTTTGATGTGCAGTACTAACAGTTTGCTACACAAACATCAGTGCTTCTGTCACACAGAATCCATGATTTCCACCGCACATGAGCTGCAGTCTACCCTAAGGCCATGTTTCTAACTACAAACGGTGCCCATGGGTCAACAAAAGGCTGTTCAGATGAGAGAAGGGAGCAGGCTGGCCCAGGGTGGGACACTTACCTTGTGGAACACGTGTGAGCAGGAGAGCAGCACCTGTCCACCAGGAGAGAGCAAAGTCCTGGTTAGTGATGCACCCTTGACAAGAGCAGCGAGTGCTCCATGGTGACATTCCCACAGCCGAGCACTTGCACACTTACACCTTTTATAGTCAGTCTAAGCATGTCACCTACACAAAGCCCGGGACACCAGAACTGTGAAACACATCATGCTTGATATTAAGCCAGTAAGAGGAGTGGCAAGGTAGACACCGCTAGGTGGATGGGGCGGGGCAGGAAGGAACCTGTCCATGTGGTATGGACTCGGTAGGAGAAGGAGCAGAGACACAATAAGGAAACATCTTTTTTTTTTTTTTTTAATTTATTTATTAGTTCTAGTTAGGGAACAAGCTTGTTTCATATGTAAGTCCCTTCTCAGGAAACATCTTTTATAGGGCTTTGCTCAATTAAATTACACTCCTAAACTTAAAAATCACAGCTTTTATGACATAATTCTGAGAGTCTTACATTTAAATAGCAAGACATCAGGGAGGCAAATTACATTTTTTTTTTTAAATGGAGAACAAGTAAGCTCATAAGCAAACTTCATCCTTCTGACTCAAACTCCCCACCCAACAGTGATGTTTTGACCTGGAAAAACAAAAAGCAAAACTAGTGTGAAGTCAGTGAGGAGAAAGGGCTTTAGAGCATTAGCCGTGGGCAGGTGTAACTGGCTGTGGAGAGGGTTAGTGGGCAGATGCGGGCCCCCCTCCCCCGCTTTTAGTGACCGTTGCTCACTCTGTTCTTAAGCAGTTTAGAAGAGAGCTCATAAACACCCAAAACCTTTGAAAATTATTGTATTTCAGGAGTATGGGCATTTTGCTTGCATGTCTGTGCACCACATCCACCAGGTACCCATAAAGGCCAGAAGAGAGCATAGCATTCCCTGGAGCTGGAGCTGATGTAAGCACCGGGTGGGTGCTATGAATTGAATCCTAGTACTCTAGATGAGCAGCCAGTGCTTTTTTTAACTTGTGAGTTAAGCCCCCTAAAACCTTTTCTGGGCCCTACCAACTGTAAGTTTAAATTTAATCAACTATTATATTGAAACCATCTGTGGTTATTTTTTCATACAATTTTTCAAAGTCTTTTATCAACAGATATTTATCTGCTCTAAATAATATAATTTTTTATATAATTCTAATATTAGAATACTATACTTTGAGATATCCCTATATTCATTCCAGGCAAACAGTTTGTGGTGATAGTTACACAAGTGAGGACTAAACTCATTTACATTTTGTCATAATTTCTGAGTTGGCCTGTTGTGAATCCCGAGTTCTGTTCTCATTGTTAAATGGTGTTACCTACTGCAGAGATTACTTCAAAGTATCTTGAAATCATCCTACATTGGGAAAATTGTTTTATTTATTTATTTATTTATTTATTTATTTATTTATTTATTTTGTGTGTGGGTGTTGTGCCTGCATGTATGGGTAATTTGTATGCCAGGTGCCCATGGAAGTCAGAAGAGGGCATAGGATCTCCTGGAAGTAAAGTTGTGAGCCACTGTGTGGGTACTGGGTATCAAACTTGGATCTTTGGGAAGAACAGCCACTAAGTACTCTTAACCATTGAGGCATCTCTCAAACCCAGAAAAACTGTTTTTAACTAAGAAGAAATCTAATACTGGAATGCTAAATGTGGTGATATATTATTTATGATTGATTAAAGCTCGTCTGAGGGTACAGAAAGCAAAGCTAGCCACAAGCCTTAGAGCCAGGCAGTGGTGGCACACACCTTTAATCCCAGGACTCAGGAGACAAGCAGATGGATCTGTTAGTTCAAGGACACACTAAGGTACACAAGAAAGAAGAGTAACAAAGCTCATGACTTTGATCCCAGCACTTGGGATCACACGCCTTTGATCCCAGCATTAAGGAGGTGGAGACAGGAGAGAGATGGCTGAGCAGAGAGAGGTATAAGAGGAGGAACTAAAGGGTCTCATTAGAGATTATTCTCCAGCCATGCTGAGGAGAGGCAGCAGTCTGAGGCTTGGTGGAGAACTTCTGGAGACAGGATCAGCCCTTTCAGCCTGAGGTAGAGGTAAGAGCTAGTGGCTGGCTGCTTCTCTTATCTTCAGTTTGCAACTTGAAACCCAATGTCAGTCTCTTGAGTTTTTATTTTTCATGTTACAACTAAGTACAAGATTAGCACAATAGTGTTAGTATCTTTAACCAAACAAAATGATTGCCTGGCTCTAAAGTTTAGTGAGATGCTTACATAACACCTTGAGATATTTAAATTTTGATTCTTCATACAGCCAGGTTAAACATGTACAGGACAGTAAATGAGGTTGCTGCGGCTGCAAGGGTCCTGCAGCTTTAATGATCTTGTACTTCGGCACTAAATTACAAACTTCCCTACATACTACAGTTCTGTGGTTCAAGGGCTGACTGAAATCTTTCCAATATCCAACTCATACATAAGATTAGGTCTTCTTGGAGAACTAAAATGAAAGTTTACTTCAAGCATCTTAATTCACATTACTGAAGGGCAAAAGTGTAGTGACTGTGAGCTTCCTTGCTGATGATGAAGCATTTTTAAGTCTGAGAGGTCAGGATAGTCCATGAAGTTTGGGATCCTCACCTGGGACCCAAGCCTGGCTGTATGCTGGGTTTCCTCAGCTGTCATCTCAGTGCTACATACTATGCAAACGTCTTTCTCCCCAAATTCTGAAAGCATGAGTGACCTTGGCTCCCTGGAGCTGGCAGTTTAGTCAGGCACAACAATGGGTCTGTGTGGCAGTTCATGAGCTTTCTATACACCAGGATAACCACCCATCTTATATTAAGAGATGTGCCAACAAAGAGTTTACTTTATACCAGGATTCTCCCATAGTTCTTTGAAGATATTCAAAGTGTCCTTTGATCCAAATGGCATACTTGGACTTAGTGTCACACCAGCAAGTGGACACTATCAAGTGATGGTATTCAGCCATACACACACACTTTAGGGTGGAAGACAAAATGTGAAGTATTTGAAAGTTATAAGGGCGCATGGGCCTGGGTGTCTCACCGGCTAATACAGGGGAAGGACTGCCTTGCTGATCTATACCTCTGTCTGTTATGTACCTGGGGCTGGAGCTCAAATTCTTCTTTACATATTGGACATGGCTGCATGGAGTCCCCTTGCAGGAGGGATCTCTGCTTCACTCTCTCCCATTCGTCTGACGACAGCGGCAATGGAGGAGGTGGCAAGATGCCCAGTTTCTGGGCTACAGGAAAGATAAGACACAATGTAAGCTCATGTATTTTAGCATGCATAGTCACATATTTTTATTTAAAAATTTATTTTTCATTTTACATACCAACCCATTTCCCTCTCCTTCCCCCCCCCCCCCGCCGCCTCCCTCTCTCCCCACCCCCCATCCACTCCTCAGAGGGGGTAAGGCCTTCCTTGGGGAGTCTACAAAGTCTGGCAAACCAAGTTGAGGCAGGACCAAGCTCCTCCCCTCTGTATCAAAGCTGAGCAAGGTATCCCACCATAGGGAGTGGGCTACAAAAAGCCAGTTCATGCCCTGGGGATAGGTCCTGGTGCCACTGCCAGTTCCCTCAACAAATCAAATCACATAGCTGTCACCCACATTCAGAGGGTCTAGTTTGGTCCAATTCAGGTACCCTAGCTGTCAGTCCATAATCCATGAGCTCCCACTAGCTTGGGGCAGCTGTCTCTGTGGTTTCCCCATCATGGTTTTCCCCCCTTGTTCATAAGATCCCCCCTCCCTCTCTTCAGCTGAACTCCAGGAGCTCAGCCCAGTGCTTGGCTGTGGTCACTGCATCTGTCTCCATCAGTTATTGGATGCAGGTTTTATGATGGCAATTACCAGGAAAGGAAAATAGTTAAGATCTCCTGGGTAAACTGGAAGGGGGTTAGAAGGGAGGGGATGGGAACATGAGAGATCAAAAAGACTGAGTTGGGTGAGGGATGGAGGAGGAGAGCAATGAACTCCATATCTTGAGGGAGGGAGCAATTATGGGGTTAGAGAGAAACCCGGTGCTAGAGAAATTCTCAGGACTCTACAAGGAGGACCCCAGCTAAGACTCCTAGCAATAGAAGAGAGAGTGTCAGAACAGGCCTTCCCCATTAATTGGATTAGTGACTACCCTAATTGTCATCACATGTAATTTTTAAGAGACAATATGCACAAAGATATTCTAGGGAGGCATTAGGCAACCTTTCACAACACAGAGCAAGGTGCTTTTCTATGGAGGGCAATGATAACACTTGACATTCTCAATGATCTATGTTTTTATTATACAGACTTTGCCATCATTTTGAATGCTGATTGATTTTCAAGCAAGTGGATTGATATTTAGTAGTATAGAAGTTGAAGAACACTATTTTTTTTTTTTGCCATTTGCCTTCTTGTTTTCACCTAATTTAACTGTCCAACCTATAGCACTGCCTTCTTCCTTAGCCTTGCTGCCTTCACCAATGACATTTATAAAGTGCACATCAATCACATGCTATGTAAGGATACATTCCTTAAGTAAGAGGCTTATAAGTACCCATCACATGAGCTTATATCCCATGGGGAGACTCATTTTGACAAATACCTGGGCATAAGGCTGGTAGAACTGTAAGTGTAAACCACTATCTACAAACTGCTAAATAACAGTAAAGGTACATTAAAAAAATCAACCCAGCACAGAGGACTATCAGAAAGGCACTCTTGGTCCTAGAAAAATTCATGATAGAAGTATGAACATACTTTGAAAAGCTAGACCATAAAGGTGATTTATACAGAAACTGGATATATTTTTTAGGTAAATAGACTTGTGTTTTCCCAGGAAAAGTCACATAACAGATCCACAACGCATGGGACTCAATAATTTGGGGTGTAGAGAAAACCAAAAAGACAACTAAGTACCAAGAGCTAAGTAGCTATGAGAGCATTTGTGTCCACATGGGAGGTAAACAGCAGTGCACAGGTCTGTGTATATCCACAACCAGTTGCCAGCGAACAAAGTCTGCAAACAGTTGTTTTACTTAAGATGCTAGGAAAAGGAAATACAACAAAGTGAAAGAAACAAAAAGGAAACGACAACAGCAGAAATTAAAAGGAAACGGGCCAAAATGCAACCAGATCCAATAGTAGGTATAAATCTAAAATGTCCTTTTCTCAAAAGAGACATTTCTAATGAAATTGATATAAAATACAAAGAACAAGGAAAAAATACAGAGTAAGACAAGGAGATAATCATAAAATGAATGCCCAAAGTGGGGTGGGGGTGACTCAGCCAGTAAAATGCCGTCCACATAAGCATCTACGTAAAAGATCTGTACAGTAGTGTGTGCCTATAACCCACTGTGGGCAAGGCAGACACAGGAGATCCTCAGAGCTTAGCTTGCTGGCTAGCCAGTCTAGGTGAACTGGTGAGCTCTAGTTTAGTGAGAGACCCCATCTCAAAAAATAAGGTAGAGAGTGACTGAGGAAAATACTGATACCAACCTGTGGTCGCCACATGCACTCGCCTACACCTGTGAAACCATACACAAACAAACATCCTGTGAAGAGCACCTATATCCCAAACTCACCTGATAATACAGGTGAGATTAACTCACTTCACTAGATTTACTTTTGGTAAAAATATACCAACACTAAAACCATCAGGAGAAGAAACAAAAGGCTGAGTTGAGCCCAGAGCCTCTCCTGTCTTGACTTAGTACCTACCATACTGGGCAATGAGCTCAGAATTTATTTATTCTTAGACAACTGATGGGCCTAGACTTACTGTAGGTGAAGTGACTGTCAAGGGCCAGACTCTGAACTGCACAAACCTGTATCTGTAATAATGCCTCAAAGTAGCAGAGCTGACAATAGGCTTTCTTGGTGAACTCCAGGGACAAGGCTTTCTCTCTAGGTACCTGTCAGCCTGTCACTCTTGGCTGGCTATTCTGCACTTGTAACCAAACGTGGAATCTTTCTGCTCCTTACCTCAGCAGCTAAAAGAACAAAAGGGGTACAAAACAGATAACTGCTTGATGAGGGAGTTTCCTTCGTGTGCCATGCAGGCCTCCTACTAACTCCTGTCTTTGTCACCTACAGCACAACAGCCCTAACTAAACCAATTTCCCATGCCTAATCATTTAGAAATCTTTATTTCTGGCTTCCCAGTGTAAAACAATTTCAGACTTACAAAGGATTGTAAGAATGGTAGAAAGAATTCTGTGGCCTTAACAAACTACTACAGTAATAGAAACCAGGGAAGCCAGGGAATTAATGCTGAGCTAATTATCCACTGAAGTCATGCTTCCTTATTCGTGGTTGTACTTTCTGGGGTCTCAGGAATTCCAAAAGTAATTCATAAGTTTTCAATTTGTTTGCCCATCTAAGCAGCATAGTGAAATCTCGATGTCCTGTGCTCCATTCCTGTCTAGTCTATCAGGCTGTATATATGATGTACCCTTGTCCCTCTGTAGTAGCCTTGGTGGTCAGACAGACTGTAGCAGTGTTACAGTCTTAGGATTTGTTGAGGCTCCGGAGCAACACAGCAGAGATGAGGGCCACTCAGATGTGCCCAAGAGAGGAAGTAAAGGGCTTTCTTCAAGTGAAATGGGAAAGTTCTTGATGTCACAGAAAACAATTATATGTTGCCAAGGTGAGATCAAATCTTCTGCCAAACTATAAATATGGAAAAATAGATTCATGAGAATTTCAGTTTTATTTACCTCTGTAATAGTCATGTAGGGCTATGGAGGGAGCAGAGACTGGGAGGTTGAGTTTAAGGCACCTTGAACTCCACAGTGAGACTTTCTCTCAAAGAAAAAAAAAGTTTTAGCTCCAGTGTATGACAGGGATCAATTAAGATAGAAAAGGCACTAAATTTGTGGATGGTATTTAAACTGATGTCAAAGTGTTTCACCAGAAATCACGGAACCTGTGAAAATGTTAGGAAGGGGTCCCTTGAAATGAGAACATCAAGGCATTTAGTTCAAGTGAAAGATCACTACACAGATTCGAGGCAAGGTTGGGCTGAAGAGTAGAAGGATTACGGCTAGGGCTATGCACCAATGTAGAAGACCTGGAGGTGAGGAAACTAGTTTAGGAGGAAGGACACCACCTGAAATTAGTCTTCAATTCAATGTAACCAGGCTCTTCAAGCAAATGCCAGATGGGAACTATGTTCACAAAACACAAAGATGCAGGCACATGCCTATAAGCCAAGCACTCAGAAGGTTGAAGCAGGGAGATTGAGAGTTGAAGGCCAGCCTGGGCTACACAAGGAGATTCCCAATGCCAACAAAAATATGCAAAGGAAGGCAGAAGGGCTTAAAATACAGAAGCACAGACCAACTCTGGCCTTTTATGGAATGCCACGGGCACATGATAAAGTCCGGCACAATGTACACAGCCAGAAATTCACTCACAAAAGCAAGTCACCTGCCCCCTTGTTTAGTGGACAGTTCTACTAATACTTCATCTCAGAAGTGAAAAAAGCCAAAAAAAAAAAAAATCAGAAAACAAACAAACAAAAAAAACCTTGGCAGTTGGAAGAGTATTTAAATAATGTACTTGGCTGTCAGAATTTGCCAATAAAATGAAAATGTTAAGGTTATATTTTTACCCCAAATACACCATTGCTTCAGCCCTATAAATAGGGTACCGTCCAGCTTGAGGAGGCTACACTGGGTTAGCATCAAGCCAACACATGACCAGAAGGCTTACCTAAAGTTAGTGGTGGTGGCATGGGATCTAGAACATATTCCTTTTCTGGATCTTGCACTTTGGGGGCCTCTGTAGTTTTTCTAATCCTGGTATCTATTACAGCTGTTATGTCTCTCTTGAGAGACTTTGACTTGTTCTCATTCTTCTGCACTTTTGTCTTACAAGGATCTGCTACTGAGAGATGTCCAAGTTGAAGATCATGTAAAATGTGGTCCTGTAAGGCAACTGCAGTGACTGCTATGTTACCTTTTGTAGATGAACAATCCTAAAAAGTAGGAGGTAGGGATTGTCTTATTTACTGGAACAGTATGTAAGGTAGGTAACAACAGCTTTTAGAAGAAAACTGAATCTCCGTGCTCCACTAATGGCAGTATTACCAAAACAATGGGAAGGAATGCCAGAGTCACGGTACCCAAGTCAGAACAAACCCCAGGCCCAACATCTGTTAGAAACAAAGGAAAGCTTTTCATGTAATTACTGGAGCCTTAATTATAAACCAATAAATTCAAACCTGTGTGTGTCTAAATAAATCCCTGCTGTTTTACTATAACTGAAGTAGACTCCAGGCAAACACTATGCTCTTAAGCATAAGCTCTTTGGTGAAAACTTAGTGTTTCCTGCAGGACAAGGTCCTTGAGCCAGGAGAGGCCTGCAGGTAGTACTTAGTGACTTACTGTCCCCACAACACACACCTCCCACTCCTGCTCACGGCTCCTCATGGACACAAGGTTTGTAAACTATTTTTATACTCAAAGAAAGTCCAGTTAGACTACATTCCATGAGTTAAACCATGGGTAAGTTTTGAGGAAGATGAAATACCTTATTTTTTAACATGCTCAATCAGGAAACACGGTGGTGTGGCTTCAACAAACTATAGCAACACATTACAATTCCTTCTGTTCTTCTGCTGTGAACAGAAAGTGAGAGTGTTCATAAATGTTCACATCTACTAGGGTTATGCAGATAATACCAGGCATGCCAGCTACAGGGCAGCATGGAGCTACGCCTTCCAATCTATACAGTCATAACCCAATCCATCCCTGTCCTCCAATAGCTTACCACAGTGCTAGAAAGAATTTGAGTACAAAAAACCATCTAGCAGCAAAACCAAGAGTTTTAGAGTAAAGTCTCAGACCAAAATCAGACACTCATCGAGTGAAGACAACATTTAAGCCAAGTCCCGAAGAGAGAAATGAGCATATTAGATAACATGAGCAAAAGCAAAGACATTCAGGAAACCAGCATGGTGTGTTTTTCAGGGAGAAGGGAAACAACGAACAAGTGGGTATAAGGACATACTGGCTATCTGCAAGCTGACCAACACCCAAGTGGACAGAATAGGGGGACAGATTGACTGAGTCCCAACCTGCTTTCTGCTTTTTGGGGTAAGCTATCTAAACATCTCCAGCTCAGTTTCTGCATCTATAAAAACACAAAAACACTGACACTGCAGGATTTTTATACAAAAGAACAAAACATTCTAAGGGTTTAGAAGGACTGTTTTGCACAAGATACCCTGTAAATGGTTACTGTTGCTCCAATTCCTTTCAAAGCTGGGGAAAGTATCTTTTAGTTTTGGGACCATGGTGTTTTTTTTTTTTTTTCTTTTTGCAATATTTGTATTAATACCTTGGGAATTTCATGCAATATTTTTATTAAATAAATTTATTTATTTCATGCTGTTACTATTATGAAGGCAAGAGTCCACAATATTCCACAGTGAAGAGAAACAGAGTACCTTAAAAAAGCAACTCAGGGGATAGCATCAAGGGACTTTTAGAAGGGTGCTGACAGAGTAGTCTCCCAAGCATGCAAAGAGGCCCTCTGTTCTAACTCCAGCACTACAGTTTACAAGATTACAGGAAAGTGATTTCCATAGGAACTAATGTGTGAGACACCTGATTCAAGACTAGGAAAAGAACCAATGGCTGCTCAGTTCCTCAGCAGCCTAGATAATTGTCATTGTGCTCTCCTCCTTGTTCCTTTCCAGTTCTGGCATGGAGTTCTATGAAAGATGTTTATACTCAATGTTCCTTGCCACGGCCTAGTCTGGAAAAAGGCATGTAAAATACTGAAAGGTCACTATCATTATTTCCCAATAATGGAATGCCTATAATTCAGTATGGACCAAGTATGCATCATACCAAAAATTGTTTAATTTTTCAACAAGATTCATACTATCGTTAACCAGAGGTAGCTATTTAGCCTACAATTTCACTTAGTTTTTGTTTTATTATACCGTTGTGATTCATATCGAGCGTTAAAAACCGCCTCATCAAAGTCCCACAGTGTCCGCAGATTGTATAATCTTAAAAAAAAAATATCCGAAACATACCAGATTTAGTCCAGCTGTGCGAGAAAATATACATGGAGAAGAGGTGACTCGTTAGTTCGGCGACGGGAAAGTGGTAAGCTTAACAGGAAAGAACAGCCACAACCGAAAACTAACTGCCAGTGTGCAAACCTCAGCTTGCACATGGTTAGGAGCTCGCGCTAGGTGCGGAGACGCAACCCTTGGTGACAAGACATTTAGTCGCCTGTTGCTCGAGGCGAGCAGAGGGCAGCTGACACACACATCACTAAAAACGCACACGAGACTCGCACGTTCGTTTCAACGACTCCTGCAGAGCCGAGTGGCGCCCTTGGACG